GCATTTCTCATAACGGATTTAACATTTGCATAACAGCAAGTGCATTTCTCAGAACATTTAGTGCAAATGGCAAAACATCATTTTCTGCAATAAGAGCATTGTAGAGCCTGTCACGATCCGCTCCGTTCGATCCCGATGTGTGCCACGCCCCCTCATTATCCACGTGTGCTTTCCCGATCGTGCCCAGCTGTTCCTTGTTGTTTCGGCTTGTCTTCTGTATTTAGTCCGCGTCTGAGTCAGTCTTCCCCAGATCCGTCATTAATGTTTGTAGATGTGCTTTCCCCGGTCCTGTCTTCCAGAATAAAACCCCGTTTGCTTGCATACTCGGCTTTGCTCGCTTGCTTCCCAGCTTGCTCGCTCGCTCGCTCACAACAGAGCCCATCCAAATCACAACATAGCATGGCATGTTGGCCTTCACAACCCCCCTAGCATTTTCTGGAATAAGAGCATTGAAGAGCCCATCCAAAAACTGAAGAAGTTGGTGTTGCAGGGCCCAATGCTGGCTGCATTGTGAATGACTCCATGTTCAGCAACAGCAGCACACATTGTGATGTTGCCCCCACGCTGGCCTGGGACATCTACTGTGGCCCTCTGACCTATTATGTTCCTGCCACGTCGCCTTACTTTGTTTAGGTTAAATCCTGCTTCATCTACATGCACCAAAATGTGCTGGGTCTCACTGGCCTCCAACTCAAGTATCCTCTGTAAAATAGGAACACAAACATATGTAACATTCATTTACACATATATACAAATGAAGAGCAAAAGAGAGCAAGAGTGATCATGTTGATCATGAAATCCTGAAATCTTGTCAAGGACCAATATGCATTTCCTCACCTTTACATTATGTTTCTTTGTTCTTTAACCCTTTCACTGTTCCTCTCAAATGGAACCTTGTACAGCTGTTTTGTTGAGACAGCATGCTTTTCAATGGTGGAGAGACTCACAGAGGTGATGTTCTCAAAAATGCCATTGTCCTCCACAATATTATGTTGTATTTCTTTTAGCCTAATGGCGTTGTTTTCCCTCACCATATCCACAACTGCCATCTGCTGCTCATGTGACAGAAGTGGGCCTTTCCCACCAGAATGAGGCAGTGGTTCTATTCTAACAACACAAACGGGGACATCAATTGTTATCCAGAGGTAGCTGACTCTTTGTACTGCATACTACAGAATTGTATTTGATACACTGCATATGAAACAGAACTAATGAAAATGTTGGACCAGTTACTTGCTCTCAGTCCTGAATGTCCGTATAATAGATGCCACAGTACATCGTGCCACCTGAGGCTGCACCCGCCTGCCAGCTTCAGCAAAGCTCATGCCATGATTGA